CCCGCCAGCTTGGGTGTACGTGGCTGGCACCTTAGCCACTTGAGCCACAGGCGCCGAGCCATCAATGCCTATCTTTTATTGAACAAAGGGTTATGAGAGGGCATCCGTTAAACTATATCAAAGTTAAAATCCTCTGTCTTCTCAAAATCTGAATTTCAACTTCTACTTTCCATCTGGTATTTTGTTTTCTTAGATGCTGGCTAATCCATGGATATAGTTTACACTTTCATCTTCATTCACATATTTTTCTAAGTCATGCTACAAGGAAAGAAAGCCAAAAAAATTACAATTTAAAAAATTATTACAGGGTGGTGCCTGTGGCTCAGAGTAGTAGGGCACCGGCCCTATATGCTAGAAGTGGCAGGTTCAAACCCAACCCCAGCCAAAGACTGCAAAAAATAAAAAAATAAATAAATAAAAATTATTACAAGTAGAATTTTTCTGTAAGAACATTTCATACTACATTAGAAAAATATTTCACTTTCTAAGTCAACTGGTTTAGACACAATAAAATTATCTCATCTCTAACTCTCCCCCTGCCCAAACTTAATCTCATTCTTAATTTTAGCCACTCCCACTATCACTGGCTTAGTTAGAATCCTTTTATATTCTTCTTTATTGAAAAAACTGGGTTCAGCCTATCCATGCCTGGTTGAGTTTGTTTCATTTATCAAAAGCTATCGGAACTTGTTTCTGTCATACTTCGGTACCCTCTGTGGCTCCTTAGTGTCTGCGTCATAAAATTCAAATACGTTAGTATGCAAGAAAATAACCTTCTCAACCTCCACGAACTGTGCTTTTCCAGCCTGTGTCCCACTGGACTGCTTTACGCATTCTGCTCTTCAGATAGCCCAGAGTTCACAAAGTAACCCAAACACACCAGAAAGATGCTGACCTGGGTTCTTGTACTTTCCTTTGCCTGTGCTCCACTATCTCCTCTGCTTCTTAAGTCCCTTTCCTCCTGAAAAGCTGACCAATAGACTAAATAAATGTTAATTTTTCATCTGTGGCTAAAATCTAATAAGGTTCATAATTTTACCCAGGTACTGAAGAAAAGATTTTCTCTTTTATTATAAGACATAATTATCTTATAGGGCATAACCATAGCAATTTCATAACTCGTGATTTTTGCATGGCTTTTGTCTTGGTGGCTTTGCTTAGAAAAATCCCTAAAGGAAGATGACTTTGTGCACTCTGTCTTTGGATCAGGTGGTATCTGGGCAAAGAAATCCACCTAACCAAATAGCTACTCAATTTCTTTCCTTCCTTGATAATGTGTGGAGGTTTCTCAGTCTGGATAAAGTTTCACACAGTCTATCCCCCATGATCTTTCAGTTTCAGATTTCCTGGCAGCCCACCTTCTACGTTTTATCCTTCAGCTAAGTAGCCCAGTACACACTGAACACTCCACAGTGCTTATTTTCCCATTCTCTGCCCTCTTTTCACTTCTATGGGGAATGTCAATTCCCGCCAATCTAACATAAATCATCCCTGATTCACGAATGGAGTAGTGCAGAGAGGGAGAGAGGTTTATTACCCATTCCTAATCAGCAGATTTCGAACTCCAGCCTTTATTTATGACTCCAGGACATGGACAGTCTCAAAAAGTTTATTATGAGACTTGAACACTATAATAGCTGACAATTTGAAAAATAGAAAAGTAGGAATAAATATGAGCAATGCCCATATTCACTGTGTACAATCACCGTTAGTAGTCCAGCATATGTTACTATTTCTTTGTTCTTTTTGTGTTTTTTCCATTCATCACAAAGTAAAGAAAGTATAAAATGGAAATAGCTGCTAGAGGAGCCCTTACAGTATAGCATAAGCTCAGCATGAAAGAACCTTTCCTAAAATTGTAACCTAGCCAACAACTCAGCTTGCTACCTCAGAGACCTCTCTGAGTGGTACTCACTCTTCCACTGATGGCATATTCTCCTAGCTTTTTGCCCAGTGGAGAGCATAGATCATTTGCACTCTTCATTTATATGTGACTGTTATGCGTCTGTGTGTGTATGTGAGTTTGGTGTGCTGTGTTGGCATGAAAAGATAAATGATAATGTTTTATTGGTTCTAAGATGCATATTTTCCCACATTTTAACATGATTCTAATCATGATTAAGGTTATAACTGATAACATATAATAGCATAAGGGTATTTTTCTTTTCTTTGTTTTTAAGTACTGAA